GAGCTCACATCTCAATCCACAAACAAGAAACAGAGCAAGTGGAATTGAAATGGCGTATGGCTTTGAAACATCAAAGCCTTCTCCCGGTGACATGCTTTCTCTAGCAAGGCAATACCTTCTAAACCTACCCAAACAGGGCCACCAGCTGGGGGCCAACTGTTCAAACGCCAGAGACTATGGAGGGCATTTCTCATTCAAACCACCACTGGTATTTAGAGCATGAAGCTTTCAAAAATGAATTATACTGTGAATCGTGACAAAATACACACACACACACGCACACATACACCATAGAATTGACTACCGTAGTCATGTATAAGTTTGGTAACCCTAAATACAGTCACCTGACCAGCATCCAGGATGGAGTCATCTTCTAGAACTGACACCCTGTTCCCATTCGTACCATTTTTCTCCATTTTTCCCTCTTTCCAGCTTCTGGAGCATGAGGCTGTTTTCTTCTTTCATCTCACATCATACTTTTGTTCGTTCATTTCAAGGGAAGCTAGCAAGCCTTGGAGCGTGGAATGCACATGGTACTGAGCTATTCTCAACCTGACAAGAAGCCAATGGATGATTCTAATTCAGGGACTTGTCATCTGTTCATGTCATTGTGTGTGGGTTCTGTGTTCTCTGTTCATGCAGCAGACCGGAACACCACTGAGAAGTGCCTGGCCACATTTCTGTTTTACTTAAGTAATTAAAATGTTGGTGACATGGTCACATGGCATAGGCCAGCCTGGCCTGGAATACCAGGCTCACCTCCACCTTGCCGTTCCTGCCTCAGCCTCCTAAGTACTGGAATTACAGGCATGAAGGCCACTGTCTTAGAGCTACTGTTGCAATGACCAAAAGCAAGTGGGAAGGAAAGGGTTTATTTGGCTTACAACTTCCATATTTCTGTTCATCACTGGAAGAAGTCAAGACAGGAACTCAAACAGGTCAGGAAGATGAAGGCAGGAGATGATGGAGAAGCCGAGGAAGGATGCTGCTTAGTGGCTTGCTCAGTCTGCTTTCTCATAGAACCCAAGACCATCAGCTCAGGGATGTGTATGGCCCACAATGGTCTGGGCCCTCCCCTATCAGTCACTAATTAAGAAAATGTCTTAGAGCTGGATCTTCTAGAGGTATTTTCTCCATTGAGGCTTCCTTCTTTCAGACAACTCTAGCTTGTGTTGCCAGTACACCTATCATGGCTGACTTCACTTTCATCATATTTTAATGTTTTTACATTTACCTATTTCTATTTTATTTTATTGTATGCATGACACACGTATGTCCACACTACAGTGCATATACTGAAGTCAAAGGACAACTTGCCAGAGTCTGTTCTCAACTTCCTCTGTGTGGGTTCCAGGGTTCAAACTCAGGATATCAGTTTTAGCGGCAAGCACCTTTACCCGCTGAGCCACCTTGCCAGCTGCATATTATTTCTTTTTGGGGAGTGGGGAGTGTTGTTCTTGTTTTTTTTGAGACAGGGTTTCTCTACGTAGCCTTTGCTGTCCTGGAACTCACCTTGTAGACCAGGCTGGCCTGGAACTCTTGAAGATCTGCCTGCCTCTGCCTCCCTGAGTGCTGGGATTACTGGCATGCACCACTGCGCCTGATTTGCATGCTATCTCATTATACCCATGATATTCTTGAATGTAATTAGGTTTTGGCTGGTATAGTACTAGAGGTATAGTGCATTGAATTATTTTATGTTTGGGTGCTGGGGTGGAACCCAGAACCTCCTGTGTGCTACGTCTATGCTATCTCATTGAGCTACACCTGAACTCCAAGTGTTTAAACAGCACCTTATGATGAAGCCCCGTACAACTGGAATTTTGTCTTTTATAACACCAAGCTCTCTTTCTTTGGAATTTTCATGTTTGGAACTGAAGTATGCCCATTAAGGCCCAATCCTCCTGCTGGATATTTCAGGAAAAACAGTTGAATTACAGCCCAATGGAGGTTCTTGAAATATCCAAACAAGGAAAAAGTTGTGTTCCCTTCTTCTCCCAGGGTCAGGAATAGATAATGAAGAACTGACTTCAGAATTGGCCTATGGATGGATGGCCCAGCATAAAAATGTTTTGAGGAAGATGTTTTAGAGGGAGGCACTAAGAACAGAGCAAGTGAATGCATCCCCCAATTTTTCTTGTGGCAATGAATATTAAGTTACATAAAGATAGATTTTATTTAACTAAAATAGCAGCTTTTCTATGCATACGGTCCAAGCTGTGGCACAGCTAATTCTATGTCACAGAGCTGCCTAGCCTGTGTTGCCTAGTTTGCAGGCTCAGTGCCCTTTGGATGGACAGCTACACTTGGCCCGAACTGACCCTGGCATTGCTGCTTGCCCTGGCCATCATTTTTGCTGCTGCTGAACTGAGAGTAGGAGGGCAGAATCAAGGGAGGAATGCCTTAATGCTCTTGGTATGAAATCCCCTTCCAGGTTATGAACTGAAACCAAGAGGAATATTCAGAGTCTCATCCATCTTCCTTTCACATCCTGTAACTACAACCACCATTATTACCTCCTCATCAAACCTCTCAGAACCCCGCTTTTGCTATAGTTCCAGAGGGGAACTCAAGCACCTTGTGCTGACCTGGGATTGGGCATTCTCTGCTCATGTGAACCCTGGCCCCTCTGCCTTGTGATGTTTCTTTTCATTCCTCCTCTTAGAAGACCTTCTGGGACTTCTTGATAATGAGGTCTTGAATAGTAAGCTCTACTGACAGGAAGCATATTTGTATGTAAGCCAGTCTTGTGTCACCCTGATGGACTACTGAAGGTGAGTACCATATGGAGACAGGTTCTGCTGAGCTCGCAGTATGGGAGACTCAGGTTCAATTCTGGCAGACCCACCACTTTGGAGTCCAGCAAAGGCAGAAGATGACAATGATGGGTCACTGTGATTCTGAGAGAGAGAGAGAGAGAGAGAGAGAGAGAGAGCACAAGCTTGTGGACCACAGATTCACTGCAGCAGTAAAGCCCTTTCACTGGGCCCTTCTGAGCCCTTCCCACTACACCACCCTGGAACCCAGTCTTTAGGTATGTGTATTTGGGGGATAACAATTGGCCACAAAGGGGCAACTTGAGAAGGGCGTGTACCTTTCTGTCACTGTGATGTGCCTCAGTGGCAGCCTTTGGATAAAACGAGGACTTTGGGGAACACAGGAGAGGTGGACATTGTGATGATGAGCCTGGCTTTGAATCAGGGTGTTGCTAACTGGCTGAGTCTTGTAGTACCTTCACCTACAAGAGTCTGTTTCTTCATTGGGGATGGTACAGATACCAGTTTTCATGAGAGGTAGAGAGGGTTAAAGATGACATGGGCTGGGACATTGCAAGTGTCTGTCTCCTCTTGGCCTTCGGTCCTTCTGCATGAAAACCAGAGGCAGGAGTTTCAAATTTTCTGCCAGAATTACCTACCATCGATTTCTTTGTTCAAAATCACCCATGCTGTATGTTTTTTAAAAACTTTTGCATCTGTGTGTGTGTGCATGTGTGTGTGTGTGTGTGTATATGTGTGTGTGTATGTGTGTGTGTATGTGTGTGTGTGTATGTGTGTGTGTGTATGTGCATGTGTGTGTGTGTGTGTGTATGTGTGTGTGTGTGTGTATGTGTGTGTGTGTGTATGTATGTGATGTATATGTCAGTGCTAATAGAGGCCAGAAGAATGCATTAGATTCCATGGAACTATAGTTACATGCAATTGTGAGTTGTCTGACAGGGGTGTTGGGAACTGAGTGTAGGTCAACTAAAAGAGCAAAAACAAGTGGTCTTCGCTGTTCAGCCCTCTCCCTCATGCCTGTGTTGTACATTTTTAGAAGAAAAACTGGCTTTTCTCTTACCTTTGGATACAATGTACATGTGCCTATTGTGTGATTCTAGAATTTTCTGTCCTATACACCGGAGGGATATTAATTCCCCTAATCGTGTATGTGCATATGTGTGTATGTATGTATTATGTATTTTGTATGTGTCATGTGTGTGAGAGTACGGGGGTGCCTGTGCTGCCGTCATGTGTGGAGGTCAGAGGGCAACTTTCAGGCGTTTGCTTCTTGCCTTCCACCTGGCTGAAACAGGGTCTGTTGTGTTTTTTCTGCTTCACTGAATATTTGAGGCTCGCTGGCCTAGGTGCAAGTGGGTCTCGGTCTCTGCCTCCCACCTACTTTTGGGAGCGCGGGGATTACAGGTGTGTGCCACTGCAGCTTGGATTTGGAGGTTGGTAGTGGTGGTTAATGGGAGTTCTGGAGATTGAACTTTGGTCAGCAGGCTTGTGCAGTTAGCACGTTTACTAGCTGAGCTCTCTCTGGCCCTGGCTCCTCTCTCATTGAGGGTTTTACATCTCAGCAAACTTTCTTAATAGAATCTGGAAAATGTTCTCACCTGTGCATATTATTTTGTTGTCATTGCAGAAAACCACACTTTATTGACACTGAAATTTAAATTGCATGTAACTGTTATTTTTAGCTTTTCTCATCTTTAGAAAACCACATTTTAATGTTTTAATTAATACTGTGTATTTAAGGAGAGTTTTTTTTCAATGTTGTCTTGAAATAACTTATTAGAGACCCCATTAACAGTACCAGTACAAAATGACTATCCTATGAATAGAAATGAATTTTGGAAAACCTATCAATGTGATAAAAGCACTGTCTTCTTTCATCTCTGTGGATCATTCTCTAAGAAACTGGATTTGTAGAAAGCACTCTCTGCTTAGCTCCCCAGTTTAGCAAAAACAACAACAAACATGGCTGAAGAAGAGTTTTAAATGCACAGAAAAACTGAGCAGGTAGTGTAAAGTCCATATGCACAGTTTATCATATTTTTAGCATCTTCCATTTATACATTATGGTTGCTAACAAGCATTGGGCCAACATTGACTAATACCCATAGTTTATATAGATTTTTTGTTCTTTATCTATTATCCTTTCTCTGTTCAAAGCCACCATCCAGAACATTGCTGTATTTAAAAAATATATATATCTTTATTATTTTTCTCTCTTAATAGGTATACAACATGTTTCAGCACCAGAGCCTGGGGATTAAAATTAACATTCAAGTCACCAAGTTGGTTCTGCTGCGACAACGCCCTGTAAGTCTTTATGGGTGCCTTTTAGATCATGCTGAGCAAAAGTCTTTGTTGTGTACTTGAACATATTTTGGATATATGCCTATGAGTGGTATACCTGGATCTTGAGGAAACACTATTCCTCATTGTCTGAGAAAGCGCCAGATTGATTTTCCAAAGTGGTTGTACCAGTTTACATTCCCACCAGCAATGGAGGAGGGTTCCCCTTTCTCCACATCCACTCCAGCATGTGTTCTCACTTGAGTTTTTTATCTTAGCCATTCTGATGGGTGTAAGGTCGTTTTGATTTGCATCTCCCTGATGACTAAGAATGTTGATTCTTAAGTGTTTCTCTGCCATTCGATATTCCTTCATTGATAATTTTCTGTTTAGCTCCGTACCCCATTTTTTAATTGGATTACTTCATTTGTTGCTGATTAACTTCTTTTTTTTGTAATAGATCTATCCCTTTATTATGTCTTAAAATATTATAGTTAGAGGATAGTTATGTCTTTACATATTTTGTTACATATAATGTTACATATATACAGTTGTGATGTTACTTAATAGATTCAGGATCCTATGTTTTAAGTGTGTTATTGCATGTGGAAATTAGTTTTATTTTCATGGTTGTGGAACACATAGCATTAACTCTCATAACAGTCATTAAACAGACATTTCACTCTGTTTTTTGCCTTTACATTATCTCAAGAACATTTCTGCCTTTTCAGTCTAAAATTCTGTAGGCATTGAATAGAATTCTATTGTTTCAATTTCCATTTTCTCTAGTTCCTAACATTTTAATTTTTACTTTCCATTTAGCTTATTAATGGGAAATTATAGTTAGATGATAGATATTTCATTACATATAATGTTATATACATTAAATAGCTGTGGTATTACCGAATGGATTCAGGTTTCAGTTGTTGTTGTTGTTTCTTTTTTTTTTTATTTTTTTCTTTTTAGTTACATTTTGTTAACTCTGTGTCCCAGCTGTATCCCGCTCCCTCATTCCCTCCCCAACCCCACACTCCCTCCCTGGTCTCCTCCCTGCCCCTTTCCAAGTCCACTGATAGGGGAGGACCTCCTCCCCTTTCATCTGACCCTGTTTTATCAGGTATCTTCAGGGCTGGCTGCAAAGTCCTCCTCTGTGGCCTAACAGACTGCTCCTCCCCGGGGGGGGGGGGTGTCAAACAGCCTGCCCTTGAGATCCTGTTAGAAACTTCTTAAGTTCTTTATATATTCTGGATATTAGCCCTCTGTAAGATATAGAGTTGGTGAAGATCCTTTCCCAGTCTGTAGGCTGTCGTTTTGTTCTCATGATAGTGTCCTTTGCTTTACAGAAGCTTTTCAGTTTCATGAGGTCCCATTTATTGATTGTTGATCTTAGAGCCTGTGCTGTTGGTGTTCTGTTCAAGAAGTTGTCTCCTGTGCCAATGAGGTCAAGGCTCTTCCCCACTTTTTCTTCTAACAGTTTTAGTGTGTCTGGTTTAATGTCTTTGATCCACTTGGACTATAGTTTTTGTGCAGGGTGATAAATATGGATCTATTTGCATTTTTCTGCATGGAGACATCCAGTTAGAGCAGCACCATTTGTTGAAGATGCTGTCTTTTTTTTTTTCCATTGTATGGTTTTGGATTCTTTGTCCAAAATCAAGTATCCGTAGTTGTGTGGGTTTATTTCTGGGTCTTTTATTCGATTCCATTGATCCACCATTCTGTTTCTATGCCAATACCATGTAGTTTTTATTACTATTGTTCTGTAGTACAGATTGAGATCAGGGATGGAGATACCTCCAGACGATCTGTTGTTGTACAGGATCATTTTGGCAAGTCTGGGTTTTTTGTTTTTCCATATGAAGTTGAGAAATGTTCTTTCAAAGTCTGTAAAGAATTGTGTTAGTATTTTGATGGGAATCTGTAGATTGCTTTTGGCAGGATGGCCATTTTCACTATGTTAATCCCACCGATGCATAAGCACAGGAGATCTTTCCATCTTCTGTTATCTTCTTCTATTTCTTTCTTCAGAGACTTGAAGTTTTTTCAAACATGTCTTTCACATGCTTGGTTAGAATCATACCAAGCTACTTTGCGTTACTTGTGGCTATTGTGAAGGGTGTAGTTTCCCTAATTTCCTTTTTGGCCCTTTTGTCTTTCATATACTGGAGAGCTACTGATTTTTTTTTTTTTGAGTTAATTTTGTATCCAGCCACTTTGCTTAAGGTGTTTATCAGCTGATGGAGTTCTCTGGTTGAATTTTTGGGATCACTCATGTTTACTATCAGATCATCTGTAAATAGTGATACTTTGACTTCTTCCTCTCTTTTTGTATCTCATTGATCTCCTTTAGAGCATGCTGAGTACTTAATGGGTTTGGAAGTCCCCCCTGGCTGTGACTGCTATGGAGGGCTTCAAGAAAACTGGCTTATTCAATGTCCTGACTTTGAAGACGGTTCCATTGTGAGAGAAGAGAAAGAGCCTGGGCCACAAGCTATGGGAGCATGCAGACTGCTGAGAATCTCAGGGAATGCTGAGTCATGGGCTCTCACACATCTTCCGTGCTCCTGGAAGCTCTGGCATATGGCTTTCATATATGTAGAAAACTGGGGGAGGTCTCAGAAGCCAGACTTTTCTCCTGGAGCTTCTGCCTCAGGAAACCCAGCATAGCCTTATTTTTGCCATCTCTCTCTCTCTCTCTTTATCTCTCTCTCTCTCTTAACAATTTATACATTTTATATCCTTCATCTCCTCCTGGTCCCACCCTCCCTTCCTCTTCCCCCCATCTGCTTCCCTTTGTCCACTGATAGGGGTTGTTCTCTTCCCCAGCTATCTGACCCTAGCTTATCAAGTCTCATCAGGACTACCTGGATCCTCTTCCTCTGTGGCCTGTCAAAGCCTCATTGCCAGGGGGAAGTGATCAAAGAACAGGCAACTGAGTTCATGACGGAGGCAGCTCCTGCTCCTCTTATTTGGGGACCCACATGGAGACTGAGCTGGCTATTGACTACATCTGAGCAGGGGTCTAGTTCCCTTCTGTGCATGGTCCTTCGTTGGTGCATCAGTCTCTGCTGGCCCCCTTGGGCCCAGAGCTTTTGCTTTGTTGGTCTCCTTGTGGAGGTTCTGTCCCCTCCATGTCCTTCTATCCACCCCCCTTCAATTGAGTGCCTCCCTTCAAGCCAATACTGCCTATGAGATGAAGCAATCAGTGGACATTGAGGGAGTGCCTTTGGTTTTGTAGACTGTTCTGTTTCTGAGAAGTAGATTGCTTTGCTCTAATGACAGTCGTTATTTGAACTTGTGGATAAAGTCCCTGATGGTCTCTCTTGGGACTTCCTGAATGTCCTTTGGTTCTAGGCTAACTCAGGGCATCCTTTGAGTTCTGTGTCTGAGAGCATCAACCATTTGTAGTATAAGCTGGGTGGCAATTTTGGCTTCCCGGATGATGCTACCTTTGACTACCCCTGTCAATTTCTTTTAGGCCAAGTTATCTATTGGACATCATGGTGAGCGGTCCCTGGAGAGCTTCTGTCACTGGCAGAACGAGGAGTATGGGGGAGCACGGTACCTTGGCAATAACCAGGTGCCGGGAGGGAAGGACGATACGCCCCCTGTGGATGCTGCTGTATTTGTGACCAGGTAAGTCTGGAGTGAGAGAAAAAAGACAGTACCCCTTTGAGAGCATGTTATCAATCTAGACTTGGAAGCCAGGCCTATGTCTACTTGCAGGGGCTTTGGGTTCCTTTCTAGTTAGGACCTCACTGTTGTAGGTTCAGCCTCTGGGGGATGAACTGATGCCTGTCAGCACTGCCTAACCCATGCTGTTAGTTGTCATTAGCTCTGTGGTCAGCATTAGAAAAATACTGAAATTCTAGGTAACTAGAGACTTAGGACTTTCTATACCCATGCATTTCTCCCCTACTTCCCCTCCTGCACCCCAGTCACATGCTAGCAAGAGAGGTACAGACAGGCTTTGCAGTCGCTGCAGACTGATTTGCACAACTGGCTAGGGAGGAGAGCGTGTGCTGTGAGTTCCCTGCGGGAGAGCTCCCGGTGGGTCCATGGATGACCTGCACAGCCTCTCAGGACGTGCCGTCCACAGGACAACGGCAATCCCCAGAAAACGCAAGCTTTCAGATGCCCATGGGCATCACGTACAGAAGTCTGTTTAGAGCAGGGGTAAAGGTTCTTTCCCAGCTTCAGGACTATCCTTCTATATAATATTCAGGTTATCCTTGCAGACCAAGGAGCCAAAAAATACATAGCAGAAACCCAGGGTGGCCTCTGAAGTCATTACAGCAATCTCACTGCTGTAATTCCCTAGTACCACTATAGCCACTGAGCAGAAGCAGGTGACCCTAAATAATGAGGTCTGTCCCCTTGCATTCAAGCTTGAGGTGTTGGTAAGGCCCCCCCTCTCCTGGAATTCTCGAGGGGTGGGGATTCCTTATTTTCTCACTTGATTGCCACCCTTGGCAGGCCTCTGCTTGTGGACACCTCATTGAGATGCCCTTCCACGATCACGTGGACTTCTCTCCATGTCTCTTTCTGTGCCCAGGTTGTCTTAACAGGACAGGTTCTTAACAGGTTGTCTTCTAATCAGTCCTTATATTAGGACCTGTCTTATCTCATTGTGACCACTTCTCAATTGGGTTATGTCTTAGACCCTTTTTCCAAATAAAGTCACTTAACCATATCTGTTATGGGAACAGTTTTAGCACATACATACAAACAGGGTATAAACACAGACATACACACACACACACACACATACACACACACACACACAGATGGAAATGGGGAAAAGAAACTTGTAATTCCAGTACTGGTTTGTCAAAGACAGGATAGGAAAATGCCTGGGGTTCACTGACTAGCCCAGCCTATCCTAAATAGCAATCCCCAGGCCAGTGGGAGTCTGCCTCAGAAAGCAAGCTGATGACTCAGGAAGAATAGTGTCTGAGGTCGACCCATATATACGTGCACCCACACACACATTCCCCCCCACCAGAATGTATTTCCTGTGAGAACATTTGCCGATTAAATGTCTAATCTATGGGATACTCTGGGCACAGTCTCTTAAATAATTCTGTGGCTATGGAAGGATTACCAGCTAGTGTGACTGCTTCAGGACTGGGCTTGCCAGCATGTGAGTGCTGGGCCCCTCCAGGTGCTCTTTCCTTAGAAGTACTGGGAAGCCATCTTCCCTAGCCAGAGGCTGCCATCACTCATTGGAGAATGGCATTTGGGGGCCGGTAAGACTTCCTGTAGAACACCCAAAGGTTTGTGCTGCTGGGGGAGGGACAGATGTTTGGAGAGTGTATTCCACCTGTGAAATAAGCAGTAGTCTCGTGGAGCCTTGTTTATGTATAACCATAAATTACACAATTAATTTTTTACATGAAATTAATTAAGTTTAACTGAATTAGGCCTAAAAGCCCTTCCTAGAGAAGAGCTTCTGTTAAACAACCTCAAGATTGGAGTTTTCAGATAAACTCCCAGTGCCCCTGCTTTGAAAGTTGTTTCAATAAACACTATAAAACTTAGGAGCTGGGCATGGTAGCACACACCTTTAATCCCAGCACTCAGGAAGGCAGAAGCAGGGGGATTGCTGTGAGTTTCCGGCCAACCTGGTCTACAAAAGCAAGTCCAGAACAACCAAGGCTACACAGAGAAACCCTGTCTCAGAAGAAAAAATACATAGGAATTCTGGTATTTATTAAAAATATTATTAACTTAGGGGATTCCCTCCCAACATTGTATTTGAAAATACTTTTTACCTTCCTGTTATTTCCTTTTACGAGAAGCTAGTAAACATGTCTGTAACTTACCCATCTTACTGAGGATGTTTTCGGGGTGAGGTAATTTAAGTGTACTCATCAGTTTCAAAGATACAGTTGTCACCTAGGTATACGGTGATCTCCCGAAGGGGAGAGAGAAAGGACTTGGAAGTTGTCTTGTTCTGGAAATGAAAAGCTTTTTTTTTTTTTTTTTTTTCCCAGAGAAAATAAACATCATCTAAATCACAGCTGAAAAAACTTCCAGATTAGGTCTTTCATAAAACCACTAATAGGCAAGGAAGGGAGTACATGTTCATCATCCCAGCACTTGGGTGGTGGCGACAGGAGGGCCAGGTGCCTAGGTCACCTGTGCCTGCATAGTGAGTCTGAGGTCAGCTTCGGCTATGTGAGGTGCTGTTTTAAACAGTGACCTCAACCAGGGGTCTAGGAAGATGGCTCAGCCAGTTAAGTGCTTGCTATACAAGCATGGAGAGCTGGGTTTGATCCTGTGGAACCCAAGTGAAAGAACTGGGCTTGGCGGTGCCCATTTGGCAGAGAGAGGGACTTGCTAGCTTGCTTCTGTAGTCCAACGGGTGAGGCTCAGTTGCAGTGAGAGATTCTGCCTTAAAAAACTGAGGTGGAGAGAAATTAAGGAACATCATTTTCTGACATCCCATACACATTTGCATACACACACACACACACATACACACATACGCACACATGTACATAAAACATACACACGTGCACATACACAAACACATTCACCCTTATGCACATGTGCACACACACACAAACACATGTACTCCACACACTCATGCACACAAACATACACACTTGCATGCACATACACACACACAGGCATGAACACAGATAAACTCATGTACACACATATGCCTAGGGGTTCCATTTTCGTCTTCTGTTTCCCAATGACACCTCAGGGCTGCCTAAGCCCTTGCTCTTGCTTCTGTGGACCTGCTCAGCCCCAGCCCCAGAATGTGTCCTTGCAAATGCTGACTCCTGCAAGGCCAGGGCAGCAGCACTGGAGTGGGTGAAGAAGGAGCTCCCAGGAAGCTGGTGTGTAACTCAGAGCCAAGGCTGCAGCTCCTGAGGTTGAAATGACGGCAGGCTGGGGTTCTGCAAGGGAATGGGATGCGAGGGCAGTGGCTGCTTGAGAGAGGCGCCCTGTTTGCCCAGAGCAAGCCTAGCCAAGTGTCTAATAGGAAATCGCACAGGCCAGGCTTTTTTCAGGAACAGCATCCCTGTAGTTCGGCCTTGTGTCTGGCTAGGATTTTCTTTTCTCTCTCTGTTTTGGCTGGTGGCTAAGCCTGGGAGCTCTTCCCCTGGACACTGGCTGCTACAGAGGATGTGAGCATGATGTCATGGCTAGCGGAGGCAGTCAGCTTTTCTGCAGCTGTGTAGACAGCCACTATATGCACTGTGGCTGGAGGCCAACCAAGGCCACACAGAAGACGGGGGCTCCAGCCCTGGTGGCTTTACCTTTGCTCCTGAACTTCACCGAGGAAGAGACACACAGCATTTCTCCCCGAGCACAGCTCTGTGTTCTTGTAGAGGACACTGGGGAGACACCCCAGAAGCAAGCATGCAGGGCTGCCTGAAGCTCATGCTTCCCAGTCCTCGGCACCCCACAATCAGTCTTCTCCCCGCCCCCTCTGCTTCCTGTCCAGTAGCCTCCTACCCAGGAAACCTAAGCACAAAGGGAGGAGCACAAACTTGCTCTGACTGCTTAGCCGTGCTTCATTCCCACAAAGTGTGTTTGGTTTGGGGGTAAGGTCATGATAAGAAAGGGTTTCAATTTTTTTCTCATAAGAGTGAGGATTTCTAAGGGCTTGTATTTTTCTCTTTGAGTTCTAGATATTTATTGTGTAATTCACAGTGATGTATGCTTGAAGATCACTATGAAAGTGGACTTTAAGTATTCTCACCAACAAACAAATAAACAAACCCCACAAAACCCAAAACTAGTACCTGAGGTGATGGACATTTCCATTAGCTAGATTTTATCACTTCACAAATATATCCAACCTCATGTTTGCATTGGATAAATTTGTACAGTTTTAACTGTCAGCCAATAAGTGATAATAGTAAAGTAAATTGAGCACAAAAAAGATAACCCAAAGTATACATATTTGGTAATAAAAACTTAGAAATCTTCAGAGGCAAAACCGTTTGAGTGGCCGATACAACAAATCCTCGGTTACCTTCCTGCTTTCTCTCTGGCCACAAACTAAGCTTCCATTCCCATCCATGCCACTTGGCCTGCCATTTTCCTCTGACCTGCAGGATGCCGGGAATGCTTGGCGAGGTGACTGTCCCAAGATGCTCAGTTGTCAGTCTAGACCTGGGAATCTGTGCATCAGGATGTCGAGCAGAGCCTTTAAGCCTCCAGGTCCAGAGCCTGCGGGTGGGAGTGGGCCGGCAGGACCTTTGGGATTCATGCCAAGAGAAGTGGTTTGAGGGATGGGCGCATTCAGGGCTTGCCATGTAACACAGCACACTGGGCATTAATTAGAGTGGGCTGACACGTACAGAGCGCTGATGGTGGATAGAATGAAGGGAAAAGGAGAGTTACAGGCTCTGCATTGTTCCCAGTTCAACCGATGCACCAAATTCTGCTGTGTGTAGACCTGACTAGAGTTAAAGGAGGAATGGAGGATAGGCATGCTGGAGTGGAAAGGTGCCGGCGGTAGCCAGGGAAGGTAAGCTGGGACAGGGCCGCCATGTACAGTCATACCTGTGTTTAGTGTGCAGACAGTTCTAGGATTTGTTTGTCTAAAAGAAACTGAACTGTGGCTGCTCAGGGGACTGTCATTGTCCTCCATCTCCTCTAAGCCAGGAGCCTGACCCCACCAGTGCTCTGTGATTGGCTGCTAACTCTGGGAATTTGTGGAGGGAATCCTGGGGGTGTTTGTTGGTGGAAAAGCAGGGCCCAACCCTTCATTTCATCAAGAAAGGAGACTGAATGCATGGGACCTGCAGGACCAAAGCTAGAGCAGGCTTTGCACCTTTGCTTTCTCATCCTCAGCCGCACAGCTGGGAGCTCCCTGAGGGCTTTAGAAATGATTTTTAGAAATGGCTTTTTGTCACCTTTCCATGGATATAACTAATGTCCCTTCCAGCTATCCAGTCTGAGTGGCTTTGAGATACCGCTAAAGTTAACTAGTGATGCCTTTTAATTTTTTTTTTTTTTTTCCTGAAGTTACTCCTGAAGGAATAACTTCTTTCCGGCAGCTAGGTATGGAGAAGTTCAGCTGTAGAAGGGATGTTCTGGTCCAGTGGGGCAGCTCAGTGGGTTAAGGTGCCACCAAGCCCGATGATCTTAGTTCTATCCCCAAACCCACCTGGTAGACAGAGAATGGACTCCCTCAGACCTCTACATGTTCGCTGTGACACATGCACGCACACCGTACAAATAAATACAAATTGTTTTCTTTTCTTATCAATTAATTAATTAATTAATTAAATCACTTTACAGCCTGATTTCAGCCCCCTCCCTCCTCTCTGCCTCCTCTCACCCTCATGCTCCCTTCCCCCATTCCTCCTCTCCTCCTTCTCAGATAAGGGGAGCCCCCCCCCATGGGTACCAACCCACCCAGGCACCTCAAAGAGCAGCAGGGCCAAGCGCATCCTCTCCCACTGAGGCCTGACAAGGCAGTCCAGCTAGGGGAAAGGGATCCAGAGGCAGGCAACAGAGTCAGAGAGAGACCCTACCCCCATTGTTAAGGGACTCACATGTTGACTGAGCTGCACATCTGTCACATATGTGTACAGGGTCTATGTCGAGCCTATGCATGCTCTCTGGTTGCTGGTTCAGTCTCTGTGAGCCCCCGTGGGCCCAGGTTAGTTTACTCTGTAGCTCTTCTCGTGTTGTCCTTGGCCCCTCTTGCTCCCTCTGTCCTTCCTCTCACTCTTCCACAGACTCCCTGTGTTTAGCTCATTGTTTGGCTGTGGGTCTCTGCATCTGTTTCCATCAGCTGCTGGATGAAGCCTCTCAGAGGACAGTTATGCAGTGGGGATCTTCCATGTGGTAACCAAGCTTACTATTTAGAGCTGTCATAGATGATTTACTTTCGACAGACATTGATTGTCTACAGTAAAGCAATAACATTGCAGAATCACCACCCGATATTAGTATGGGATTTTCCTCTTCTGTTATTGCAGGGTGTCAAAAAAGATACATCTGACAGTATCTTTTTTTTTTTCTTTCTTTCTTTCTTTTTTTTTTTTTTTTAGGACAGATTTCTGCGTTCACAAAGATGAACCGTGTGACACTGTTGGTAAGTTTGCAGTTCTAACAATGGTTCAAGGAGATGATGTATCAGAGGACTTGTAGTCTGAAGGAGTTGCCCCCCATTTCCCCAAACAAACTTAGTGTTTTCTGTTGCCTCTCTTCTTGTAAATTAGTTCCTTGACTATACTCTATGGTTTTTTTTCAGGTAAGTTTTGAGGTTGCCTGTGTCATAAGGCATGCGTTTACCTAATGAGTTTAGAAAGAATGTTATAACAACTCAAATCAAGAACAAGAGCTGCCAGGTAACTCCAAGGTGTCTGCAGTTGAGAGTGTAATTGTCCCTTAGCCCTTTGTCCAGCTGGCAGCTTGCTTCCCGGTCTAACAGTCCTGAGGTGGGCAGGCAGTGCCGCAGACATGCAAGTATTCTTCCCCTTTCTTCTTTTTCTCACTCGCCCCTCACAAACAGCTTCCCTTCCTCTTCTCTCTTCAGTGATACCCAAATTGGAAACCTTCCTTGTACTGGGCGTGGTGGCACACACCTTTCGGATCTATGATTTTGGGGTCAGCCTGGTCTACAGAGAGAGTTCCAGGAGGACAGCCAGGGTTACACAGAAGAACCCTGTCTCAAAAAAAAACAAAACAAAGCAAGACTAAACCTTTCTTACCGTGTAAGCAGAGTACCTCTCTAAGAGGGGAGACACTCAGAGCATCTGCTGTTTCCTCAGCCATCACACACACACGGAGGTCCCAAATACTGTGCTACCCAAAAAGGGTTATGAATTTTATATACTCATATGTTTCAAATTACAGAAATACTGGTGGGAAGTGAGAGAGGATTGACATCATATCTAATATTGTAAAATCTGGATTTTAACAACCTGTTACCATGGAGTCTCAGTTTTGGGTAAGCTTGGCCTCAGCAATGGCTCTACATGACTGAACTGGGTGACTCAAGTTTCTTAATACGTATGATGACTGCCTTGACAAGTGATTTAATAAGACCCTTCAAGATCTGGTAGGATATCCAACATTTATTTTACATGTTGAAGTTTATAATTATTTTATTCTTTTACTTTATCATTCTTCAAAGCAGATCAGAGAACAAGATATCAAAATTCAGCTGGTGGATGTCTGTGCTTTGCCCCTTAGGACTGGTTCCATGATGGAATTGCTGGGCAAAGACGATGCCAGCCTTGTTTTGCTCGTGGGGTAGCTGAGCCAGGCTCAAGTCTGGCTGGAGCTGTAGAAGCTGCAGGGAAATGTGTTGCTGGAGTGGTTTCTCCTTGCAGCGTTCACAGGTGACCTTTGAGGGCCACTGTGGCTCTTCTAGTGTATGCCATGACTTTGCCCTGCATCATCTCCTTGCCTAACCTCAGGAGATATTAGTTTCTTATCTAGCCCTTGCCCCATACTTCCTGATCCTCCAGAAGCCTCTGTGCCATGCAAGGCTGAGTCTGGTCTCCAAGCCATGTGTCCTGCAGCAGCTGGCTTAGAACTTAAGAGGCTTTTATGTTTTCTTTCTCTTTCTTTCTTTCTTTCTTTCTTTCTTTCTTTCTTTCTTTCTTTCTTTCTTTCTTTCTTTCTGTTTTTTTTTTTTAACAAAATCTCAAATGTTTGATTTTTACCCGTAAAGACTTGGAAGCCAGATTCTGGGGTGAAAATCCCGCTGGCTCAAAGAGGCAGAGAAAGCACCCAGCTGACCTGCAACACTTTTATGTACCATGTTGTGTGGTTAATACATCACAGGGAAGGAATGAATACAGATGAAAGAAGAAGCTTCATGTCTGTGAATAATATGCTCTGGAGCATGTGTTGTTTTTTTTTTTCATATGACTGACAATTTCCGTTTGTTCAATTGTGAATATACAAAACACCCATATGATAGGAATTGATTGTACACCCCTCTCCTTGTGGAAGACCAAACAGCTAATCCTAATCAGGTATCTTTCTCTTAACTACTCAGTACTCCACAATACTTTAAACACTTTGCTCTTGACATTTTTCCATCGCAAAATGCCGCAAGGCCTGTGTATCTCAGGTGACAAAAACTTAACGCTTCAGGCCTCTGGAGGCCACCGGTCCAGGTCCAGTTGTCTTCAGGTGAGGGCTCCCCATGGCTCGCAGATGGCTGGCTCCACAGCATGCTCTTACTTCTGTGTGTCCCCGTTCTTTTTCTTCTTCTTATAAGGACATTAGTCACACTGTATTGGGACCATCTTTACAACTGTTATCTGACCTTTTATAATTATATTTCTCAAAGCCATGTTTCAAAATACAGTCCTGCTGAGGGCCAATCCTTCACCCTGTGAATTCTGAGGATCATAATTTAGCCCATAGTGCTATTCATATGCCACTTCACCACACAAAACCAGGTGGTATCTGACATCCTTCTGTGATCTCTTCGGCATATGTGTGTCACTTCCTAATGGGCCATGGCTTTTCATGGTGGGGACAGGGTGCAATCATTCTTAATGTGGCCGTGGGTTACCTGAGGGATGAGCTGCTCTGTCTCTTGTCTCCTACCATGTACTCTTTCTAATACCCTGGTGATTTTTAATTTTTACGAGGGAATTAGACATAGGGCCTTCACATTTTATTATGCTTATTTTAATGTACCATAATTCACTTGAACATGTTATCAAATAATTTTTAAAATGAAGTAATTTGATGAATATAAAACATTTTAAACTGTGGTTAGGACTGTCATAAACCAGCCTCAGACTCTTATTAATTTATATAGACATACATATATGCACACACACACACACATATATATATATGTGTGAGTGTGTGCTATGTATTGTGATCTACCTATCATCTATATCTATTTATATATTTATATCTATATCTATCTATAGCAATACAGAATCAAAAGAAGTTTCCCTATTAGGCCATCAACTGGTTTATCTGGATATAACTCGGTCAGAGGTGGAGCGGCAGCTGTGAATAGCCTTAAGGAACTGCCTCCTAGGAGATAACTGTTTCGAATGTCCCAGTCGAGATGTCATCTCTTTCATCTTGGTGCCGTGGATGCGCCACACTTTAGACTCATCCTCACCTTGTGACTTGACTCTATTCTGGGCAGAAGTTAAAGCTCAACATTTAATTATGTAATCACTGCCACAAGGCAGATCTCCCCAGGCTCTGGCAAATCCCCCTCTTTGCCAGTTTTATTGGTACTTATAATTAGGATGTGATAATCTTCTGTGGTATGTGTGTGTGTGTGTGCGCGTGTGTGTGTGTGTGTGTGTGTGTGTGTGTGTGTGTGTGTGTGTTTGTGAAAACATCCAGTTTGAGGGAGGAATGTGAGTGTGTCTAGCTACGGGTTGCAGGCTCTGGCAAGCTCTGCCTTCCTTATACTTATTTAAAAAAAAAAAACAACATCCACTTGCAAGAGTTAGTTATGAATGTAAAATTCTATCAGTATTGGGGTATTTTGCCTCACAATCCAGTTTTGGCTTCTTATTGGAAGGCCACACATCCAAGAGTTGGGCAATACCAACTGTCTTGACATGATCAAAAAATAACAAGTAGGCCACCAGTTGGGTAGATAAGGAAGGGGAATATCTGAGAGGAGTTAGGGAAGGGGTGATGATGACTAAAATACATTCTACAAAGTTCCCAAAAGAACTAATTTTTAAAATGAAGAGGGAAGAGAGTTTCTGGGAAAGGCAAAAAGTATGTATTTTAATACAACAACTCATCCCTTAACACAATTAGCTTTAAATGTTAGTAGAACATGTTTAAAATGCAGACTAGCTTGCACTTAGATGCTGGGAGAAAGCCTTCTAGAAGACTGTCAAGGCTGTCATAATTCAGGACAAAGGGAAATGAGGGCGGCCCTACGTCCATCTTGCCCTTGCTTCCCCATACTGCTGCTGCAAACAGGTAACTGAACATACGCATGTGTGTATAGACACACACACACACACACACACACACACACACACACACACACGTACACACCTGGTACCAGTGTGCAGGTTGGAGCATGCGGTATGTGCTCCCTGTGTCTGACAGTGTGGTTCAGCTTTGTCTATGCCTGTGAGTTCTCTCAGTCCTTGGCTTGTTCTGATAAGGGCCTCCTGAGGAGACCTGGCTGGCTGGGAAGCTACACTAGTGTAAGCAGTCTGTGTGGGGATGTGGCTGGCCACCCGAAACCACTTGCCCCAGAGGACCAAGTTCAACTTGTCTCCCTCTTCCTGTCAGGGTCTCTTTTAAGGTTACATATTAGACTGTATTAGAAAATGGTGAAAATACAGAGGTATGTTTTTCCATGGGGTAGAATTCTATCAGCCCTTTGGAGCCATGGAACCAACATTTAGTTTGGAACTCAATAGAGACCAATGAAACATGTAGTTGTGCCTAACTGCCTCTGGAATTAGAAAGCAAGAGGGTTGAAGAAGCAAAGAAGCCCAACACACAGGAGTCCAAGAAGGGATGTGAAATGCAGGCTTATACTGTTCAGCCTGTATAATGTTGCTTACATGTGTGTTTTCAGGGCTGATCACGAGGTACTGGATAACCGGTTGGTGTGCTCTTCCCTGGGGAGGACCATTTTTCTGGCTCTCAGCATTCCTTAGTTGCTTGTAGTCCTTTGTGTAAGGTTGGGCCTCTTGGGCTTCCCCCTGCTCACTTTAGCATGTCCATTGCTGTCTTTATTCAGCTCATGTTTGGGCAGTTATGTTGATGACTTTATATACACAGCTCCCGAAATTCCTAGGAGACACAATCTTACATCAAATTCCCTAATCTTTCTTTCCCATCTTCCACAATGGTTCTTGAGCCTTAGATGCAGCAGTTGTATTCTAGGACACTGTTGGCACTTTTAAAGTGCTGTTCCTCAAGGGTGGCGGCTGAGTAGCTCCAGGCCACTGCATTCAGACAAGCTTGTTTATGCATCATGTTTTTCAGGTCAGATACAATTTACTGGGATTGGTGTTAGGCCAAAGCCCACCGCTTTTTCATTCTCAACATAGCCTTGGTATGACAGTTATCAGAGGGCTTCTCTGACCCCTCTATGTTCCCCTTGGTCAAGGAAACACT